ATAGATATATCACTGACTTTCTGAAACATTCCTAGTCATTACTTTTCTTGGCCAATTGCTGAATTGCTTGTCTTTGTGAATCAATGGACAATTAATTGTTCACCAAGACTATTAGTAAGTGTAAGAATCTTGTAAATTCACATTTGTGATATAAATTATAGCATTTCAATTAACATTCTATGTAATTAAAAAAAAACCAGTACTTATAGAAAAATAAAGTTTATTACATACAAATATTTTCAGGTCAAAATACCACAAGCAATAAATATATTTAAAGCATCTAAAAGAAAAATATTTTGTTGAAATAAATCAAATATAACACAACAACACACGAAAAGTCCTTCTGTACAGTAAAAATTCATGGTCCAATTAAAATAATTTCAGAAGTAATCATTTAATTATCTAAATGTCTTGTTTAGTAGTAAAAAATTAATATTGCAGCATTTTTTTTCACTTTTTAAAATAATTATTATCTCCTAGCTGTTTTAAATTGGTGTTGGAGACTGTATAGTTTTGCTATTTTTTTCCCTGCCTGAATAATGCAACTCCTAAATGTGCCTTTTAAATCAGAACAAGTGGTCTAAACATAAAGCTAAACAAATTACAGCCATAGACTTTGCTATGATATATGTAAACATGACTATAAGCTCGCAAGGTCTCCTAAGCCATCCAGTTGCCTTGTAGTGAGATGGGCAGCAAACAAATTTAACAAATATCAAAGTGGAAAATTACTTCTTTTGTGTCAAACTTTTAAAGTCCACCCCCCCCCCAAAATGATAAAGTCACTATGAAAAGCTAAAACTTATTGCTGTAGAGGGGAAGCAATAGATTTAACAGATTTAACAGAGTTGGAAGGGACCTTGTAGGTCATCTACTCCAAGCCCTTGCCCAAGCAGGAGATCCTGCACACCATTTCTGACAGATTCATGAATAAAGAATTTTTTAAAAATGGGAATGAGGAAAAAGAAAAAAGTCTGAAACCCCTCAAAAAATTATTTAAGTTAACTTATTAGGAATCAAATCCAAAGGTGGGATTCACATTTCTTAACAACCGGTTCTGTGAGTGTGGCCTAATTTGTGGGTGTGGCTTGGTGGGTATGTGACTGGGTGGGTGTGGCTTGCTGATTGGGAGTGGCTTGGTCACCTGACTGGCTGGGCGTGGCTTGTGTGTAAATATTGTAAATATTTATTTAAATATTGATTTTGTTTTTTAATAAAAAAGAGCAACTTTTACCCAAAATCAGGCAAAGCAAGCAGGCAGATTGAGTTGCTTTGCAGAATCACAGATTCACAGATCCAGCTTTCTGCAATCTGCTGCCTGAGTCTGTCACATAAAATTTGCTTGCAAGCAAACTCAAAATTAACTCACAACACACCATGTTATGTAAATATTGATTTTTTTTAAATAAAAAAGAGCAATTTTTACCCAAAATCAGGCAAAGCAAGCAGGCAGATTGAGTTGCTTGCAGAATCACAGATTCACTCACAAATCTAGCTTTCTGAGTCTGCACTGAAAAATAGAAGCTTCAGTCCTAAGGAAGGTTCAGCTCTTCAGAAGATTTGCCGGTTCTCCGAACTGCGCAGACTTGTAACTACCAGTTCTATAGAACCGGTCGGAACTGGTAGAATCCCAACCCTGATCATATCTAAATTATGACAAATGACATGTAGACTATTTGAAGGGCTGTTAGAATCATAACCAATCCTGTCTCTGTTTATATCTTATCAGCTGACATTCTCTCATCTCTTTAAGGTAACAAGCCATTTGGATAGAGCACTGTGTTTTTGAAGAGAAGCTCCCAGAATTATTCTTGATACACTTGCATATTAACAGCATAAACAATAGTTACACAGGTAACAGCAATAGCTGTAATTCTTTTTTACTTTTTGGGTATAGTTTGTTTTCTTTACAACTGACAATTATATATTGTTATATATAATGATATAACCGTTGGTAACATATCAAATCTTAGTAGATAACCGTTTTGGATAAAACCAACTTGTTTTGATTTCACTGGGTTCAAATTTAAATCAAAGTATTTTTTTTTCTAGGTGTATATATCTTTATGTAATGATGTATATATGATGTTGATTTTTCCCTCTTAAGAGCTTTCCAAGGTAGAAATTTGTCTTTACTTTTACTAAATTAATCTTTCTCCTAGCTAATGTTTATTTTGTGTTAGTGGTTGAGGCAATCAGCCTATAGATATGTACAAACAATTTATTTTAATATATCTCAAAAATTATGAAAATGCAATGGAAGAAGTGAAAATGAATTGTAAGTAGCAAGCTTAATGTGCGGCATATTCCTTTTGTAAGGAAGTCTCTGCTACAATTTTAAAGGTGATACAGAAAAAAAAATATAACCAACAAAATCTAAAAAATATAGAAACCTACAAACATTTCTCCAAACTATTGCTCTTTTATTCTACAATTATTTTTAAAAGTCGAAAAACGAAAAATAAAAAGGGAGAAGAAAGCACTGGAAATCATAGTAACTTACCATTACAAAAGAATTATTATGAAAGGACACTGAAGAATTTTTACTTTGATGCTATGCAAGGGTACCACAAATGTTTTTGCATAGTACCCCTGAAATAGGAATTTTTAGAGAGAATTTATTTAATTACAAAAACAACATACCATTATTTGCCAGTTTTTGAAACAGAATTTTAAATATTGCAAAGCTTAGCATAATAAAGCAGGCTTCTGAAATGCTTGTCTCTGTTATGATCAGAAATATTCCAAAATGTTAACAGCAGTGAAATGCTAATTTCTTTGTAGTGGTCCCTTTTTCTTCTTAGAGATGGCTATTGTCCTTTGTGTTAGTATCATTTAATGGTAGTTTCTGCACAATTTATATTTACATACAACAAAGTTACATTCAACAAATATACAGCTCTTCAGCTCCCTTCTCCAACATGGAGCCCTCCAAATGCATGGGAGTCCAATTTCCAGGATTCCTACACAGGCAATAATTTGCAAGTTTCCAAACTGGAGACATCTGTACTAGAGGGACAAGATGAAGGTGGAGCTGGGGAAAATAAGGAAGAGAAAGTTGATCCTCCTCCTCTTTGTCATACCTCTGGCTGCCCAGCAAACTGTGGGAGTGTAGTAAATCAGTTCAATTTTTTTTTTATTTGCCAGCCTCTTCACCCAGTATCTTTCTCCTTTCTAGTAATTATTAATTATTGCAATGTATAGGTGCAGCATAAAATTTATTTGGTGCAATGTGCAATAAGAATGGAAATAAAATAAAACAACTATCTATCTCAAATTAGTAACATGACCAAAATAACTATTTAGAAAGCCGTGTGAACCAAAGGATTATTGCACTAGGCACTATAACACTATGAAAATTGAGCCGTGTATCTCTGTCTCTGGAAAAAATGTTCTCTTAACCGTGTGCCTGAAAGAGCTCACTCCCTAGTGATCAGTTTACAGGCGGCCTACTCCTCTCTTTCTTCTTCTGTTCTTTCCTCTGGCAACAGTATTTGCTTCAACCGACCACAGTTCCAAAATTACAAAGTACAGGAGTGGTATTAATGGCGACAGACTAATCAGGAACTGGTTTTCTTGGAATTTCTTCAAAATGAACCAATTGGAGGTCCATCGTGGTGAGAAACCAGTCAAGAACCACGTTTATATGAAAACTACTCCTATGAATTTGCGCTAGCCAGGACTCAACCTGTCAGATTTAAATACAAGAGTCCAATCAGCCCACTTGATATCCGGCATTCAAAGTAGCCCAGACTTAGAAACTAAGTTACGGATACCAAAACTATTTTTATAATAGGGTTACAGTAACAGAACCTTGAAAATTGGAGTCCTGCTTCACACATTCATTTACCAAAAAATGTAGGGAGGGTCAAGTATGAGGCGTTTTGTCACATTTCTACTTTAGATTCAGATTTCTCGTATCTTAACATTGTCTTAGCTCTTTCTTCTGTTCAAGGTTATTTCACAAGCCATTATGGTTCATTGCCTATCAGCAACTCAAAGGCATTTAATTCTGCCTCTGAGGATGCCAGCCACAAATGCTTGTAAAACATGACACAAAATAAACAAACCCTAGATCATGGTCAATTCATCTTGAAAGCTAAACATGGTTCATTGATGCCAGCTGTGGACCTATACTGCTATATTGCAAATATGTATCAATTTTTATAATCAAAAATAAAAGTCAATCCTTTTAAATTTCTTTCATCATGATTTGGTGGCTACATTCAGAGGTCCTAAATATATTATTTATTATAGTTTATTCTGAAATAAATCAAAGTATCTGTTATTTATCTACAACAAATGCTAAAAGCAAGCTTTTAAAACTATTAAAATGTAGACAATTCATTTCTTGGTCCACAAAATAGCAAAGAAGAAATTTCATTTGCCAATGAAATTCTCAAAAGGAAAAAGATTGCAGTGAGCATAGCAGTTTTGTAAGGCCATGTCATATTTGTAGGCATATCTAGATTTTGTTATATTTAACTAGATTTGTGAGGCATCTTTGATTTTGATATTTTAGACATGCACAAGTGCTATGTAGCACTTTGGAGCATGCAGGAATACAAAAATAGCACCTGGCCACTCTTTAAAGCAGATTTTTCTCAGAATCACCATGAAATAAAATCTAAGCACTATGTACCCTCGATTGCACTACTATTCTTATAAATTTTCCCTCTGAAAAAGGTAGGAAGCAATCACACCAATTTTGGCAATTGTGGTTGGAAAAAGCCTTCATTTCCATTAAAGTATCCTTATGTTGGCTATTTCAAAAATATTTATTTTAATATTTAACTGTTTATGTAGAAATAAGTTAATTTTAAATAAGTCTAACTGTGTTAGCTAGCCACTTAATGTTGAAGCTGAGAACCTATTCACGCAAATAGTTTTGTCAAGTTTATGTGCAGAGAAGCATTCATTTGTAATGTGGTGTATGTATACTGACAATCCAAATCACCATTCACAGAGAAGAAAAGTGCAAGAGCCAATTCAATTGGGTTAAAATCAGTTGTTGTGCAATAATGATTAAGTGAGGGCAAAAAGTTCAACTTCTCTCATGGCACTGGACGACGTCTCAATAGCTTCTTGAGGACACAGCCTTGCCAGGTGGACTCCAAGGAGGTGAAGTTTCATCCTCAAGAATAACCTGAAGTTTTTTGGGTTTTGTGTGCATACTTTCGTCCATCTCTTTCTTTTCCTGTTGAAAGTGAAGTAGATCATGATAATTATTAGCACAATGCATGGATAAATGCTAATTAGTTTGACATTATTTTGTTCAATATTATCTTAGCTTCCTTTACAAAATTACAAAGCCACTGTCATGCCTATTTCTGTGCACTTATCTCTTAACTTTATCATGTTTTAGTAAAGTGGGACAGTGCAGTTGAAATAATTTTCATGTAATTCTAACATTATAATGCCTTACTGATTTTGTTATTAGCTTCAAATGAAAATAATGATCTATGCAGAGACTATTTTTGTTCCTATTTATTAATCTTTTCTAACACTTTCTTCCTTCAAAACAAGTCTCAAAACAAGAAAAAAATCTATTTAGTGCTAATTATAAATGCATACTTTGATTTTTATTATTTTTGTTTGCAATTGCTATTACCGGTAATATTTTTTACAAAAACATATCCTTAGAGAAACAGATTTCTCCTGAGGTGGGCTGCTGCCGGTTCGGGTGAACAGGTAGTTAAGATTCTGCGCAGTTCAGCAAACTGGCAAATCCCATCACTGACTGGCTCCGCCCCTGCTCGTTTTTTGGCCTGTTTTGGAGCCATTTTCAGGGTGTTTTTTGGGCCAAAAACAACCCAAAACTGACCTGAAAACACCCCAAAAGCAGCCCAGAAACAGCCTGAAAAATAGCCTGGTTTGGGGGCATTTTCAGGCTGTTTTGGGGCCATTTGGGGGGCTAAAATGGCCTGGAAATGCCCCCAAAATGGCTCCAAAACAACCTGAAAACATCCCCAAAAACATCCTGAAAAACATCCTGAAAACATCCTGAAAAACATCCTGAAAAACAGGCCAAAAAACAGGCATGATCGGGGCCAGCCAGTGGTGGGATTAGCCCCAACCAGCTGAATCCTACCTCTGCCTTTGAGGTGAGTGGCCAAGAGGTGGGGCCACCCACCCAGTCACATGACCAACTGGCCATGCCTACCCAGCTAGAGAACCGGTTGTTAAAAAATTTGCAGCCCACCACTGGATTTATCACAAATGTTCCATGTGTAGTTAAAGAAACATGGTAATCTATTAGCCTGACTTTAATAAAAGAGCGTATCTATTAGTCTGACCAGCGACTTAATAGTTTAATAACTCACCCATGACCGTTCAGAGAAGAGACAGTTTGGAGTTTGACCTCAATGTCCAAATAAATTGAGATAAAAATGTGTATGTATATATCAGACATGATATTATTCCGATTAAAATCGGAATTTCGATTTTTTGGGGAATCGCCCAGGCAGGCGGGCGGGCGGCGTGAACTGAGCCCGGGCGGGCGGCGGGCGGCGCAAGCTGAGCCCGGGCGGGCGGGCGGGCGGCGCGAGCTGAGCCCGG